TAGCCAGTCCTCCTTTGGCCATATGGCTCATATGGAGTCATAGAAAGATAAATTAAAATAAGTTATTATGTCTTTTAAATAAACGTTTAAATAAATGTTTCCTAGGCACCAGCACTTCCTCCTGAACCAGTATGCCAGTAAAACAAGCTGGCTCTGCCATTTTTCGGCAATTGGTGTTTAAAAGGCATTCCTTCCTACCTGAAATAATCCAACCCAACAAATCTGTACCCATTTCTATGGTCTGTTTTTGGACTGCGCTTCCACCTGATATTGTCTACACTCAGTTCCACCTTTGACCCCACCTGTCAAATCTCTGACCTACTGTCATCGTCTCTCGACTCAATATCCTTGCCAGCCTTCCTATCCCACTCTATTAACTATAAACAATCAGGAATCTACATATCAACATACTTATGCCTAATATATGCTGGAAATATGAAACAGAAATAGAAAGCTCTGGATAAACCCAGCAGGTCTGGCAGCATTTGTGAAGAGAAAAGCAGAGTTAACATTTCAAGTCCAGAAACCCTTTGTTAAAACATACGTTATTCATCTTCACGGGTTTCTCTGGCTCACCATGAGTCAATGGGTTGAATTCAAAACCTTGTCCTCATCATCAAAGCAGCCACAGGCTCTCTGCAACCTGCTTCACATTTACACTCTCTTCGATAGCTGCTGACTCTGGAGTCCTGTATCACCTTCTTCCCTCTTTCCAGCTATTGCTACTGTCAGACTCACTCTCCTGAGCTGCCTCATTAAATCTCTCCGAATGTTTATCTGTCCCTAAAAACAATTTCAGAACTCAACTGAGATTTCAATTAACCCTCCTAATCTTGCCACAAGGAGAGGAAGATTTGTGTTATGATAGCACTTTTCACAACAAAAAGATCAAAGAAATACATGGAAGTACTTTTCAAATGTTGTCACTGTGCTAAGGTAGGAAACATGACAACCAGTTTATGCCAGCTCAGGTTCCCGAACAGCAATCGGTTGTTTAGTCATGATGACTGAGTGGGAAATATCAGCCAAGTCCTACACTGCCCTTCTTCAACATAGTCAGAAACTGGGAGCTGCAGTAGGCTATTTGCCCTTCAAGCATGCTCTGTCATTCAATATGATTATGGCTGATCTCCTATTTCAATGCCATATTCCCACCTCCTCCCCAAATCCCTTGATGCCTTTAAAATCTAAAAATTTAACTATCTCCTTCATGAATATATTCAGTGATCTGGTTTCCACAGCTTTTGGTCTTAGAGAATTCCATAGCTTCACTATGCTTTGAATGAAGAATTATTTCCTCATCTTAGTCCTAAATGGTCTATCCTGTTTCCTGAGACTGTGACCACTGGTTCTAGATTCCCCAACCAGGGAAAACATCCTCCCAAATCTCGTCTGACCAGACCTGTGAGAACTTCATGCATTTTAATCAGATCCCCTCTCATCCTTCTAAACTCCAGCGAATACAGGCCCAGTAAAACCCATGTGTCCTCATAGGGCAATCTTGCAATCCCCAGTATCAGCCCATTATGACCCTCCACTGCACTCTCTCTATGGCAAATATATCCTTCCTTAGGTAGGGAGACCAAAAATGCATGCAGTTTTACCTCCACTTTGAGAGAGAACACAGAGGTGCAGCACTTCCTTGGTACTGCTGTGGAGCACCATTTTGAATTATGTATTCAAATTGCTAGAGTGGGAACTGAACCCAGGACCTTGAGACATAGGAGTGAGAATGTTACCCACTGAAACGTGCTGGCAAAATGACAAAGGTCCAACACTTATCATCCTTTAGGAGATTCTACAGGGAATTCTCCATAAAAGGCACCATGTAAATATCTTCTTTCTTTTTCATCGTGCAAGCATTTTCTTCTCTTTACAAAAGATCAAGTTAAAGCTAACAGTACAGTGTATTTTAAAAACTGGAAATGAAATATTTACCATATTTGCATACATACAACATAGTACGCACATACAATATTAGTATATATGTTAAAATTAGATTGTTCCAGATGGACGTATAGGATATGAGCATTTGGCTTTCTCACTGAGCGACTTGTGTGTCCGCTGCATTAAAAAAAAGTCCGCACCTTGTAGGAGAATAATCACTGCACTAGCAATAAAACTGTCTCCTTCACTGTATTCAATTTATGTTCTGCCACAGAACATTATGTTCTCACCATCAGCAGCAAGTACCGACTGTCAGTCTGAAGAAACTTTACAGGAATGATGGTACAATTTATAGAGCATTAAGTAGGGGTAGGTGATGGCCTCATGGTATTATTGCTAGACTATTAATCCAGGAACCCAGCTAATGTTCTGAGGGACTTGGGTTTGAATCCAATAATTCAACAATTAAAAAAAAAATGGAATTAAGAATCTACTGATGACTGTGAAATCATTGCTGATTGTCAGAAAAACCTGTCTGGTTCACTAATGTCCTTTAGGGAAGGAAATCTGCCATCCTTATCTGGTCTGGCCTACATGTGGCTCCAGACCCACAGCAATGTGGTTGACTCTGAGTTGCCCTCTGAAATGGCCTAGTAAGCCACTTAGTTGTGTCAATCGTTACAAAGTATCAAAGAAATGAAACTGAATGGATCACCTGGTATTGACCTAGGCACCGGAAAAGACAATGGCAGAAACAGCCCTGTTGACCCTGCAAAGTCCTCCTCACTAACATCTGGGGGCTAGTGCCAAAAGTGGGAGAGCTGTCTCACAGACCAGTTAAGCAACAGCCTGATATAGTCATACTCACAGAATCATACCTTACAGACAATGTCCCAGACACCACCATCACCATCCCATACTGTCCCGCTGGTAGAACAGACCCAGTAGAGGTGGCAGCACAGTGGGATACAGTCGGGAGGGCATTGCTCTAGGAGTCCTCAACATTGACTCCAGACCCCATGAAGTCTCATGGCTTCAGCTTAAACATGGGCAAGGAAACCTCCTGCTGATTACCCTGTCCTCCCTCAGCTGATGGATCAGTCTCTCCTCCATGTTGAACAACACTTAGAGGAAGCACTGAGGATGGCAAGGGCACAAAATGTACTCTGGGTGGGGGATTTCAGTGTCCACCACCAAGAGTGGCTCAGCAGCAGTACTACTGATCGAGCTGGTCGGGTCCTAAAGGACATAGCTGCTAGACTGGGTCTGCGGCAGGTGGTGAGGGAACCAACAAGAAGGAAAAACATACTCAGCTCCTGACCTCAGGATAGTGTCCTTGGCCCAACCATCTTCAGCTGCTTCATCAATGACCTTCCCTCCATCATAAGGTCAGAAGTGGGGATGTTCACCGATGACTGCACAATGTTCAACATCATTCATGACTCCTCAGAAACTGAAGTAGTCCATGTTCAAATGCAACAAGATCTGGACAATATCCAGGCTTGGGCTGAAAAGTGGCAAATAACATTCACGCCACACAAATGCCAGGAAATGACCATCGCCAGTAAGAGACAACTATTGCCTCTTGACATTCAATGTTGTTACCGTCGCTAAAACATCCCCGGAGCTTTCCATTGACCAGAAACTCAATGGGACTCAACCATATAAATACAGTAGCTACAAGAACCAATCAGAGACTACGAATACTGTGGCAAATAACTGACTTCCTGACTCCCCAAACCCTGTCCACCATCTACAAGGCACAAGTCAGGAGGTCAGGAGCTGAGTGGCCCTGGCGGAACCCAAACTGGGCGTCACTGAGCAGGTTATTGCTGAGCAGGTGCTGCTTGATAGCGCTGTTAGTGACACCTTCCACCACTTTACTAATGATCGAGAGGAGACTGATGGGGCGGTCATTGGTTGGGTTGGGTTTGTTCTGTTTTTTATGTACAGGCATTCCTGGGCAAATTTCTACACTATCGGGCAGCTGCCAGTGTTGTAACTGTACTGGAACAGTTTGGCCAGGGGAGTGGAAAGTTCTGGAGCACAAGGCACAAGGGCTGTGGTGGAATACTCCCCACTTGGCTAGATGGTTGCAGCTCTAACAATGCTCAAGAAGTCTGACACCATCCAGGAAAAAGCAGTCGCATGATTGGCACTACATCCACAAACATCAACTCCCTTCACCACCAATGGTCAGTAGCAGCAGTACATAATCTTTACAAGATGCACTGCAGAAATTCACCAAAGATCCTTGGACAGCACCCTCCAAAACCACGACCACCACAGGAATACCATCGTGGGTCACTGTGGTCATTGTGAGTCAACCTACAGCACATGGACTGCAGCGGCTCAAGAAGGCAGCTCACCCCCACCTTCTCAAGGGCAACCAGGGACGGGCAATAAATGCTGGCCGAGCCAGTGACACCCACATCCCACCAGTGAAGAAAATAATAAAAAAGAAAATAAACACTCCCAGGACAGGGACAGTACATGTTTAGATGCAGTGAAAAGTATCTTTGACAATTCTTCATCAAATACTCCAAGGACAAGGACAGCGTGGTGTAGGATAAAGAGTAAAGCTTCTTCTACGCTATCCCCATCAAGCACTCCCAGCAGAGGATCAACATGGGGTTAGAAAGTGTAAAGCTGTCTCTACACTGTCTGCATTAAACATCCCACAATAGGTATCGCATGGCATTCGGTACAGAATAAAATTACCTCTACATTGTCCTCATCAAACATTCCCAGGACAGGTACAGGATGGAGTTAATTATAAAGCTCTCCCTACAACTACACCAAGCTTCATTTTTTCTAAATAAACCAAAGAACTGCAGATGCTGGAAATCTGAAACAAAGAACAGAGATTGCTGGAGAAACTCAGCAGGTCTGGCAGCATCTGTGATAGAAAGCAAAGTTAACATCTGAGTCCAATGACCCTATTCTGAGGAAGGCCACTGGACTCGAAACATTTACAGTGCTTTCTCTCTAAAGGTGCTGCCAGGTGTCCTCAGTTTTTCTTTGTTCATTGTCTTTCACCATTACATCTTGTGTTTTCTTTATCATCTAATTTGAAAAGTTCCAATGAGTGTTATGATCACGAGTCTACTTACTGACTCCGAAGCCACCATTCTTGCTCATGAAATCCAGAAAAGATTGTAACAGGTGGCAAAGTGTGATCACTATCCCCAGATCTGTAACAGCAAAATGCTGCAACCCTCGATGGCTTCTTACAAATTGCAGGCCTGCTGAAATGCTTTTGTCAAAGAGTGTCTGGAGGTATTCCTTCGCTTTGCCAGGTAACTCTTCTGGGAGTTTTTCTAGCCAGGTACTAACATAAGGTCGCCAACCAAGATCGACTGGGTCCTGACATAGATTAAAAAGAGAAGCACTGTTAGTTAACTCATTCCAAATTGCCCAATCCTGTCAGCACCCTCATTTAAAAGGCACTATGAGCTTATTTACCATCTTCATCATCTTTGGTTGACATTTGTTAAGACTTCTGTGAGTGTTCCCAACTTTACTTATTTAGCAATTTAATGTTATTACTGTTGTTGACTGTGAAAAGTGATGCAAACTATTTAACTCCTCTGTCATTTCCTGGTTTCCCGTTATTACTTCCCCGGCCTTGGTCTCCAAGGGGCCTTTGTTCACTTTGGTCTTTTTTTTCCTTTGAATATGTCTAAGGAAGCTCTTGCCATCTGTTTCCTACTACTTGTTAGTTTGAATCCATTGTTCATTTTTTGGTCATCCTTTGTTGGCTTTTTAAACTTTCCTTATCGTTTGATTTAACACAAACCTTTGCCACATTCTATGTTTTTTTTCTTTCAATTTCAAATTAATGATTAGTTTATTCCCTTTCTAGAGTCTTATTTTGTCACTTGGATATATTTTTGCTGTTAGTCTTGAACTATTTTGTTAAACATTTGCCAAAGGACCTCAGTTTTTTTTTGTGCTAAACTCTTTTCCCAGTCCAGCAGACTCAGCCCTTGTCCTTATGTGATTACCCTGATTTAAGTGCTAAACTTCCACAAAGGGGAGGCAATGACCTAATGGCATTATCGCTGGACTGTTAATCCAGGAAACCCAGATAATGTTCTGGGGACCCAGATTTGAATCCCACTACAGCAGATGGTGGAATTTGAATTCACTAAATATCTGGAATTAAGAATCTAATGATGAGGTGAATCCATCGTTGATTGTCGGAAGAATCCATCTGGTTCACTAATGTCCTTTAGGGAAGGAAGCTGCCATTCTTACCTGGTCTGGCCTACATGTGACTCCAGACCCACAGCAATGTGGTTGACTTTAAACTGTCCTCTGAGCAATTAGGGATGGGCAATAAATGCTGCCTGGTCAGCAACACCCTCATCCCGTGAATGAATAAAGGCAGAAAAAAGTTACTCCCTCTCAAACTGAATGCTAAATTGTGTTATGATCACTGTTCCCTAAGGGATCTTTTCCTCTGAGATTATATATTAAACCTGCCTCAGTACACATTATGATACCCAAAATAGCCTGCTCCCCAGTTGTATTTACAACATATTGCTCTAGGAAACTGTTCCAAATACACTGTCTGAACTCTTCCCAGTGGCTACCTCTGTCAATTTTAATTTTTGGGATGATATCTTACCATATAAACCATAGCACACCTGCTGATTGTAGCAGGGCTAGCTTGGGAAAGGCTGTCCACCTCAAAGAGTAGCCTCATGCCTCGTGGCAAGCTGATGCGTTCCCCATTGGACAAGCACAGAGTCCTGGTGTCATCCAGTACTGTGTTGAGGTTTTCTACCCACACCGTGTCTACTGGGCCATCCATGATTATCCATCGCCAGCTGGACAAGGCCGTAACATCTGAAAGAACATAAAAAGGGTGCATTAATAGAACCTGCGCCCTATTATGGAATTGTCACCCCAGGATCTGAACTTACAGCCCAGGTTTAAAATCTCTCTAGACACCAATTGCTGATCCAGAAATACATTCTTTCACTTCTTGTGATACAAACCTGATATCATGATCATTATATGTGCCTTGACACAATCTTCTTCGATTGCTCAGATAGCAAATAGATTAATACAATAACAAAAGCAAAATGGTTCTGCTCCACTTTCTGAATCAATCTTTTACCTGTTCTTATCTGTTCTTTTTTATCAGTGGCTCTTGCCTTCCACATCATTTCTCGAGTCACTTATTTGTTTCTGCCTTCCACCGAACTCAAATCTTACTTTTTGATCTTTAATCCAAGCTCTTTACCTTTCCCAGTCTTTGAACTTATTTATGAACTGTTCAGTCATTAAATAGCACAAAACTATGTGGCATTTCTCTCACAGAGCAAACTGGTTGTCCCACTTCCCCAGTCCCCACATTCCTGCAATGTTTTTCTCCTTCGAATATTTCACCATAAGACCATCAGAGCAGAGGGAGGCCATTCAGCCCATCGAGTCTGCTCTACCATTCAATGAGATCATGGCTGATCTAATAATTCTCAACTCCACTTTCCTGCCTTTTCCCCACAAACCTTGATTCCCTACTGATTAAAAATCTCTGAATCCAATTCTATCTGATCTGTTATTTCCTGAAAGCTACTATTGTATCTGGGCACACCACCCTATGAGAAGTGAATACCACCCAATTCCTGCAGCAAATAACTCATCTATTGACTCCCCAAAGCCTGTCTCAAATAATTCCATGAAGGAGTAAAAGAGTAAAAGGGAAAGCAAGAACTGCAGATGCTGGAGACCTGACTGAAATGTCAGCTTTCCTGCTTCTCTGATGCTGCCTGGCCTGTTGTACTCCTCCAGCTCCACACTGTGCTGTCACTGTGTAAAAGAGATAGTAGGAACTGCAGATGCTGGAGAATCTGAGATAACAAGGTGTAGAGCTGGATGAACACAGCAGGCCAAGCAGCATCAGAGGAGCAGGAAAGCTGACATTTCGGGCCTAGACCCTTCATCAGAAATGGGGGAGGGGAAGGGTGTTCTGAAATAAATAGGGAGAGAGGGGGAGGCAGATAGAAGATGGATAGAGGAGAAGATAGGTGGAGAGGAAACAGACAGGTCAAAGAGGCGGGGATGGAGCCAGTAAAGGTGAGTGTAGGTGGGGAGGTAGGGAGGAGATAGGTCAGTCCAGGGAGGACGGACAGGTCAAGGGGGCGGGATGAGGTTAGTAGGTAGGAAATGGGGGTGCTGCTTGAGGTGGGAGGAGCGGATAGGTCGGAGGAAGAACAGGTTAGGGAGGCGGGGACAAGTTGGGCTGGTTTTGGGATGCGGTAGGGGGAGGGGAGATTTTGAAGCTTGTGAAGTCCACATTGATACCATTGGGCTGCAGCGTTCCCAAGCGGAATATGAGTTGCTGTTCCTGCAACCTTCGGGTGGCATCGTTGTGGCACTGCAGGAGGTCCAGGATGGACATGTCATCTGAGGAATGGGAGGGGGAGTTGAAATGGTTCGCAACTGGGAGGTGTAGTTGTTTATTGTGAACCGAGCGTAGGTGTTCTGCAAAGCGGTCCCCGAGCCTCCGCTTGGTTTCCCCGATGTAGAGGAAGCCACAACGGGTACAGCGGATGCAGTATACCACATTAGCAGACGTGCGGGTGAACATCTGCTTGATGTGGAAAGTCTTCTTGGGGCCTGGGATGGGGGTTAGGGAGGAGGTGTGGGGGCAGGTGTAGCACTTCCTGAGGTTGCAGGGAAAAGTGCCGGGTGTGGTGGGGCTGGAGGGGAGTGTGGAGCGGACAAGGGAGTCACGGAGAGAGTGGTCCCTCCGGAAAGCAGATAAGGGTGGGGAGGGAAAGATGTCTTTGGTGGTGGGGTCGGATTGCAGATGGCGGAAGTGTCGGAGGATGATGTGTTGGATCCGGAGGTTGGTGGGGTGGTACGTGAGGACGAGGGGGATTCTTTTTTGGTTGTTATTGCGGGGACGGGGTGTGAGGGATGAGTTGCGGGAAATGCGGGAGACACGGTGGAGGGCGTTCTCGACCACTGTGGGTGGGGTGTTGCGGTCCTTGAAAAACGAGGACATCTGAGATGTACGGGAGTGAAATGCCTCATCCTGGGAGCAGATGCGGCGGAGGCGAAGGAATTGGGAATAGGGAATGGCATTTTTGCAGGGAGGTGGGTGGGAGGAGGTGTATTCTAGGTAGCTGTGGGCTTGAAATGGATATCGGTTTCCAGGTGGTTGCCAGAGATGGAAACAGGGAGGTCCAGGAAGGAGAGAGAGATATCAGAGATGGTCCAGGTGAACTTAAGGTTGGGGTGGAAGGTGTTGGTGAAGTGGATGAACTGTTCGAGCTCCTCGTGGGAGCACGAGGCGGCGCCAATACAGTCATCAATGTAACGGAGGAAGAGGTGAGGTTTAGGGCCAGTGTAGGTACGGAAGAGGGATTGTTCCACGTAACCTACAAAGAGGCAGGCATAGCTTGGGCACATGCGGGTACCCATGGCCACCCCCTTTGTCTGTAGGAAGTGAGAGGAATTGAAAGAGAAGTTGTTGAGGGTGAGGACGAGTTCGGCTAAGCGGATGAGGGTGTCAGTGGAGGGGGGGACTGGTCGGGCCTGCGGGACAGGAAGAAGCGGAGTGCCTTTAGGCCATCTGTATGGGGAATGCAGGTGTATAGGGACTGGACGTCCATGGTAAAGATGAGGTGTTGGGGACCGGGGAATTGGAAGTTCTGGAGGAGGTGGAGGGTGTGGGTGGTGTCACGGACATAGGTAGGGAGTTCCTGGACCAAGGGGGAGAAAATGGAGTCCAGATAGTTGGAGATAAGTTCTGTGGGGCAGGAGCAGGCGGAGACAATGAGTCGACCAGGGCATTCAGGTTTGTGGATTTTGGGGAGGAGAAAGAAGCGGGCGGTGTGGGGTTGGGGAACGATGAGGTTGGAGGCTGTGGGTGGGAGGTCACCTGAGGTGATGAGGTTGTGGATGGTTTGGGAGATGATGGTTTGGTGCTCGAGGGTGGGGTCATGATCAAGAGGGCAGTAGGAGGAGGTGTCGGAGGGTTGGCGTCTGGCCTCGGCGATGTAGAGGTCAGTGCGCCATACTACAACTGCGCCTCCCTTGTCCGCGGGTTTTATGGTGAGGTTGGGATTGGAGCGGAGGGAGCGGAGGGCTGGACGTTCTGTGGGGGAGAGGTTGGAGTGGGTGAGAGGGCTGGAGAGGTTGAGGCGATTGATGTCTCGACGGCAGTTGGAGATGAAGAGGTCGAGGGAGGGTAGGAGGCCTTGGGGTGGTGTCCAGGAGGAGCGGGTGTGTTGGAGGTGGAGAAGGGGTCAGTAGAGGGAGGGTTAGGTTCATGGTTGAAGAAGTAACCGTGGAGGCAGAGGCAGCGGAAAAACTGCTCAATGTCCAAACGTGACCGGTTTGGTCCCTTTGCTTTCATCTTAAATTTCCTCTTAGTCTTCTCTGCTTTAAAGAAAATAATCCCAATCCCAATCTTTTACCGTCCATCCATAAAATAGTATTCCTTCATTCCTGGATCTCTTATTCCACCCAATTTGAATGACAGGTCATCTGGGTGAAACATTAATTCTGTTTCTCTCATCACAGACGATGCCTGACCTGTTAAGTGGTTCAAACAGGTTTTGTTTGTGCTTCTGATGAACATTTCAATCATAACTATTAATCTTTCTTTCTTAAAATACTTCTCACTTGCTAACAATCATGAAAGAAAACAGAACTGTACATTGCACTCACCCTGTCAATGGCCTTCTTAATAATTCATGGGATGTGAATGTATTTGCAAGATCAGCATTTATTGCCCATTCCTAATTGCCCATGAGAAAATCAGGGTGAGCTGTCTTCTTGAACCTCTGTAACTCATGTTGTGGATTTTCAGATTCTGATCCAGCAACACGGAAGGGAAGGAAATATGCTTCCAACTCAGGGTGGTGTGTGACTTGGAGAGGAACTTGTAAGTGTTGGTGTTCCCATGGATCTACTGTTCTTGTCCTTCCAGATGTCTGAGATCATGAGTGTGGAAACTGCGCTTGGGATAAATCTGGCAAGTTGCTGTAGAGATTCTTGTTGACGGTACACATTGCTGCCACTGTGCACTGATGGTGGTGGAAAAAGTGAGTACTTGAGCTGTGGACAGGGTGCCAGTCACATTCTGATGCTTTGCTCATTCAGTTGAGTGGACAATATTCCACTACACTCCTGGTTTGAGCCTTGTAGATAGTAGACAAGCTCTGGGGTAGGAAGTTGCAGTAACACTTTTTCTGTGGCTATTCCATTCAGTATCTGGTGAATGCTGACCTCAAAGATATTGATGGTGGGGGTAGGTAGGGTGGTGGAGTTATGGGAGTGGGACAGTTCAGTAATGGTCACTTTCCTCTGCAAGTCAAGAGGAGATGGTTAGATCCTCTCTTCTAAGAAATGGTAATTTCCTGGCATTAGTGTTGTGCACATGTTAGTTTCCTTGTATTAGCCCAAGAGGAATGTTCTCTGTGGATAAAGATTGCTTCTTCTACATGAGGTAGGGTGAATGGAACTGAACACTGTACAATCACCACCCATTCTGACCCTTTGGTGGAAGTAATGATTGCCAATGCTGCTGAAGATGGTTGGGGTGAGGAAACTACCGTGAAGAACCCCTGCAGCAATATCCTGGGGGTGATATGATGGCTTCCAACCAACACAAACGGGTACTTTTGTGCTGGGGGAGGTAGGGTGAGCTGAATGCCAGACCATGAGGTGACAGATTAGGGTGATTCTGCTGCTGCTGCTGGCCCACAGTACCTCAGAAATACTTAGGTTTGAGCTTTTGGATCCACTCGGAACTGTCCCCATCTAACATGTCCTGGATGGTGACACGTGAATGTACATTGTGTGGTAAGCAAGATTGGTGAGTTGAAGTT